GTGGCGCATGCCTGTAGTCCCAGCTACTTGGGAGGGTGAGGCAGTAGGATTGCTTGAGCCCAGGAATTTGAGGTTGCTGTGAGCTAGGCTGATGCCATGGCACTCACTCTAGCCTGGGCAACAAAGAGAGACTCTGTCTCAAAAAAAAAAAAGGGGGGGGGTAAGGGTGGTGAGGCTTGAAATAAGTCAACAGTCAAACATAAAAATATTAAAAAATGGAGTGATGCTCTTTATTACAATTCCTGATTTTGGAATTAAAAGAACATTTCTTCATCTTTTTTTTTTTAGGTTGGATAATCTTTATTGATCTATCTTCAAGTGGATTGGTTATTTCTTCTGCTAGACCAATTTTGCTGTTGAGCCTCTCTATTGAATTTTTCATTTCAGTTATTGTATCTTTCAACTTGGAATTTCCATTTGGGTTTTTTTTTTTTAATTTCTCTCTATTGATATTCTATATTTGATGAGCCATTGTCATTATACTTTATTTTAAAAATGGTTTCTTATAGTTCTTTGAACATACTTGTAATAGCTACTTTGAAATCTTTGTCAGCTGAGTTCAAAATCTAGGCTCCCCCAGAGAGAGTTTTTATGAATTCCCCTACAGGTCACTTTTCTATTTCTTTGTATATCTTATGAAAACTGGACATTTTTGATAATATAGTCTGTATTCTGATTCTCTTCTCCCCAGTGTTGGGGGTAGTTGCTCTTTTTGTTAGTGACTTGGCTGGACTAATTAATTCCATGGAGTCTGTTCCTCCTGCAGTGTGGCTGCTGATGTCTCTCTTCATTCTTCCTTTCTTGTATTTATTTTTCAGCCTATCAAGTTGTCCCTGGGTTGGCATATCTTAGTGGTCATCCCATGATTGGTCAGAGGTTGTGTTTAAATTCCTTGAAATAATGAGGGTCCCACCATTTGTCAATGTTCTTGTGAGGCATGAGGAATGGATTCAAAGTTCAGGCAGTTTATGTCTGTCCTGGGTTTTACTTTCTTCGTTTGCAAGGCCTCACATTCTCTCCTTTATATCTGTAGTGTTGTGCATGCACACAGTATTCTAGACCAGCAGGAAAAAGTACATTCTTATCAAGGCCCACTTTGGCTGTCTAATGCCTTGGTTCTCCATGTTAAATTTCTGGTTGGTCTGCTGATCTGGTGCTTGCCCTTAGAGGCATTGCTTTTTCAGGCTAGCTGTGACTATGATCTTAACCTCATTTTTTGCCTGGAAATCATTCTTGTTTTAATGCCTGTGGACATGGAATTCTCCATGTTTTTCTAAATAAATTTAGCTCCCTCTGGCAGTGGAGCTGTCAGTCTTCATAGCTTGTCTTGCCTCATAGGACTTCTATACCAAGGAATCGGGAGTGGGTGTGGGATGATAAGATCCTCAAGCTAAAACACCATAGTTTTCCACTGTTCTTGTTAAGCTTTAATAGATTTTCTTAAACCATCACTTCTCAATATGTTGTAATGTTTTTGGTCAATATCCAGATCTTTAAATGGAGTTTTGTCCAGTTTTATTGTTGTTTTTGTTTTGGGAGATAATATTTGTCAAACTCCTCATTCATCCATTCTGGACATCCTTTACCTTCCCTTCTTTCCTCTTTTCTCTGTGTCTGTCAGTTTATTTGTCTCTTATTTTTGAACATTTAAATTTTATTCAAACTGAAATTTATTTCAGAATATGCCATGAAGTAGGGATCTATTGGCTAGTTTAAAACATTGTGTTAGTGTCTTAGCACTACTTGTTGACAAATCCATGTGTTTCTTACTGATTTGTAATATAAATTGTTTATTTTTCTAATTTCAGTGAGACTTATTTTAATCCTTTTTTTTCTTTATTCCATCAATTATGCCCCATTTCACTTGTTTTTTCCACCTCTTGCTTTCCATTGGCTGCTTCTTAGCTTCTCAATAGTCTCAACCTTTTCTCTCTTTAAACATGTCTTTTGACTTTACCTTCTTGAGTTTCCTTCACTATTTGGGTTCATAAATTCCATCTACTTTTGATACTCATAACTGCTGAGGCTAGGCTAAGCCAAGTGAGATGCCAAAGGCACAAACATTCTAGGAGGCTTTCACTCTCGGGTCCTACCAGCGTGGGATTAGCACTTGGAGGAATTTTTCAAATTTGCACTCTACGTGCCTAACTTGCCCCATCACGGTCCTGGCCTTGCTACTCATACTTCTTACTAGCATGTACTTGTTGTGACCTGACTTCTGTCCTAAATAGGCTTCATTTATGTAAACTTTTGAGCACCTGCTATATGCTCTGCATTGTGCCAGATTGGGGGAATATAAAGAGTCTCATGATGCCACTTCTCTCACTCAGATGCTTCCTTCAGATTTGCTCTTTTTCAAGGCTAGTCCCTTTCCCCATTCCTCATCATTCCAGTCTTTTTGTATCATGTGATGCTCTTGACTGTTGCTGCCTGTTCATCCTAACCCCAGACCAACGCTTTGGAATATATAGCTATTTCCATGGTAGGACACTCTCTCTAGAAACTAGCGGGCAGTTGGGCAGTATATCAGTGGCCTTATTCTGGAAGTTGTTAAGGATTGGAAGTTCACTTGTACTTTCAGAATGGCAGTGGATGGAGTGCCCAGGACTTCTCTAGGGTGAATGGGCCTTCACAACCATGTTGCAGCAAGATTGCTCGTTTATTCCTCATCCTAGGCCTTCCTCTGTATCAGCGTACCCTTTCTTGGCAATCTCATTTGTTCTTCAGCACTCTTGAGTTATCATCTTTATGCAGATAGCTGGCTAATTTCTCTTTCTAAGTTATGCTCCAGTTTACAAGTATTTGGTGAATTACTTCATGTGGACCTGTATAATACTCCAAGTAGAATTCATTTTCTTCTCTAATGTAGTGACTTTACCATTTCCCAGTCTCCTCCTAGCTGGAAATCTTACACAATTGTCACCTGCTTGCCCACCTTCAGGTCTGCCTGGTTGTCATGTGGTACCAGCTTGTCCTTTGTAATAACATGATAAAGGCCTCTTCTTTTCAGTGTCTGCTTGTACAATGTGAGTTCAGGCCTGCCTTCCCTTGCACTGTCTGTCCTGGTTTTGTCCTAAGGTGCAGCTGGTGCTAGTCTCGCTCAACTCCAGACAACTCTCAATCCTGTGCCAGGTTAACTTTTCTTGAAACACATCTCTGATGTGTTTGTTGTTCTTTTCTTCTTATTATTCATGCTTCAGAAACTCCCTAGTGCCTTGGGAAAACTGGGCTGGTTTTCTAGACCTTCTGACTTGTTTTAATTTCCTTGCCACTTCCTCCCTTCTTATAGGCTGGACTCTATCCAAATGTTGTAAGAATTTGCCTGTGTTTTTCTGTTTGTGTCTCTGTTTTTGTTTCCTTTTGCCAACAGTATGCTTTCCTCACATTTTTAATTCTTCTTTAAAATCTTTCCTAAAGTTCTCTTAGATTTCCCGACCTGGAAATACTCTTTCCCTCCCATTATATGTATTATACATTTATCTATACTTTAAAAAGTACAGTGCTTATCACTTCCCAACTTGTAATAGTTGTGATTTTAATATGATTTTAAAAATCTAATTAACCTTTGTAGCCCTCATTGTGCCTAGCATAGTGTCTTGCAGAGGTAATTGTTCAATTAATGAGTGAATGAATGCATTTCTCGATTAAACCCTCAGAGTCCAGGGGTCCTCAAACTGCAGCCTGTGGGCCACATGCAGTCCGCCGAGGACATTTATCTGGCCTACCGGGTGATTTTGCTACTGCTGCCTGTCCTGCTTAGCAGCCACTCATCCCAGGCCCACTGTGCGCATGTGTGGAATGTGCGCCACACTCTCCAACAGCCCTCCAACAGTCTGAGGGACAGTGAACTGGCCCCCTGTTTAAAAAGTTTGACCCCTGGACTGTCTAGACTCCTCTGTGTGCCTTTCTCATTCCCTTGCTGTATATGCAGGGCCATCTGTTTGTCTTCTTTCTTGACATTGGATTAACTTTATCTGTGAATTTCTTCATATATCACTAAGTGGCCTGTTACCTTTTGTCTCTGTTGCTTATCTTCTCTCCTAAGTTAGTATTAATTTAATTTAAATGAAAATTACATCATTTCCGTGAAGGATGTGTGTGGGAAATTTAGAGGAAATGGAAGCTAGTGTTCAGAATGACATCTTGATTCATTTTGTGGGAAAGCAGGCTGCCTACCAGGAGTTTGGAAATTTGCAAGTATAAACTTGACTCCTGGGCTGGTGGCCAGCAGAGACTAGAAAGGAGAAGTTCTGATGACACGTTCAGTATCCAGGTGGAAGGCCAAGGGCCATCTGCAGGGCCCCAGCCTCCCAATCTTCTGATCTAGGCAGCTGCTCTTGTTTTCTTTAGACATGGCTGCCTGAGCTTCTAATCAGACAACTGGGTTGAGGTGATAGCAGGTAAGAGTAAGGGAAGAGATGTCTAATTGCAATATTGCCATATTTTGAAAGTATGTGAACTCTCTGGAGTTTGCTATGTAGTTGTAGGCATCAAGTTGTAGGCATCAAGGCAATGAATTAGGTTTTGTTGATGAATTCTAAGGAATTGACTTGGTTTCATAGAGGTACATCATTTGTCTAAGATTAAAGTTAGTAAATGTCATCTCTCAGGCCCTAATTTATTATTTATTCCATTACAGCTTTTAGATTCTAGATGTTTATACTATTTTACAAAAGCACATTTCTTCCTACTTTTGTGCATTTCACAAACTGAATAGAACTGCAGAATTCTTTATTTTCTGCCTCATTGCCCAATTTGTGGAGCTGTTTAGTCGATGTGGCCCAAAGAACAGTTTAGTGGTCCCTGTGAGGGTGAAGGCCATGAAAAGAAACTCGGGACAGATGGTGTGCTTGACTAACTGCCAGGGAAAATGTGACACCCAAACCCAGGAGGGGTACCAATGTTGCCTTTGCCACTCAAGTATATCCAAGTAGTAAATTTCTGAAAGCGCAGAGGAGGCTATGGGTTAACTGCTCTCCGAATTTCCAATTTCTCTTCAGTTTCAGCTAGTGACAACTGAGCTGCTCAACGCAGGCAGAACTCTGAGCTGAGCAGTGGAGGCTTCCCTGGATCTGGAGAGAAGAGGCGACTTTGGAGCCAATAATGAGCCATTCTGACTACAGGCCGAACCTCCGGCCCCTGGAGCCCCCCAGAGGTAGCAAAAGGAAAATGGAGTCTGCCCTGGCATCTGGAGAACTGAAATATAAGTGGAATGGGTGTGGAGGTTGAGGGTGGCTTTTAGGACTGAGGGGAACTATAATTCTTTTGGTGACCTGTTAAATATTATCCTGTGTTATTTATTCTAGAATTAGGTGTGGTGTCTTATTGTCTTAATTTATTTTTATTAAATATATTGAGTACAGCAGTTAATTTTCTCCAGAAAAGTGACAATCTTTTAGCAATTCCTATTTTTAAGAAGTTTATATCTATAAACTAGCAAAGCATACGGAACCCATTATTTAGATTATGTTCCATGCATGTTATGGTACTGATTTAAAACTCAAGTCTCATCTGTGTACATTTTATTCATGTTTTGTTACCCACTCTTTCCTTTTTGTGATTGTTTGAAATCATCATCAGGGAGTTTCATCCTCTTATTGGTTTTTCTACATGATAATAGAAAAGGTATAATATCTCCAGTTTTAAAAACACAGAAATGTTTGAGGAAAGAGTTGATTGCTGCCTCATATTTCTAGGTGCATCTTCTGTGGTTGGCTCACATGGCATTGGTGCTTCACCAGGTGACAAAAAGTCAAAGAACAAGTCCACACGAGGGAAGAAAAAGAGCATATTTGAAACCTACATGTCCAAGGAGGATGTTTCAGAAGGTTTGAAGAAAGGAACACTTATCCAGGTGATTAAAATCTACTGGAAGGTTATTCCCTGAATATGTGGAATCCACAGCAATCTATCATTCATTAAATGATCTCCTGTTCTGTGCTGTGTCTTAAGAGAGTTGAGGACATAACAGGGTAGGGCTGTTATGATGGTGTAACAGAGAAGAGGACACAACAGGTACTTCTTAGACTGGTAGTACATTTAGAGGTGATAAGCACCACAAGACAGGGCCAGGCAAAGTGCCCTGGGATTTGAGAGGAGGGAGCCATTATTTCCAGTTAGGATTGCCTAGGGATATTTTCCTGGAAGGGACATATTTGAGCCATGCCATGGATTGGTACAGTTTGAATAAGTGAAGATAAGAAAGAGCTTTACAAGTGGAGGGAGCAGTGTGAGCTATTTAGAAGTGGGAAATAGGGTTGGGATATGTGATATACTGAACAGTTTGGAGAACGTGAATGCTCAATGACTGAGAAAAATGTATAAGGTTGGAAAGGAAACCGTAAATAGCAGCAGACAATATTTGTTGAGTGCTTTATAGTTTACAAACTATGTTCTTACGCTAGTTCAGTGGTTTGGCTGAGCATGTTTGTTGAGCATCCACTGGGAGCCAAGAGCAGTTATGGTTGGGAGCACACTATGTGGGTGCTATCAAGATGAAGGTAGATGAGACTGCCTTTCTGTACTTTGAGCTTACAGCCCAGTGGGAGGAGGTGGTCATGTGAACAGGTGATTTGGGGATAAAACAACAAGAGCTCAGATAAAAGGGTGACCAGAGTGTATGGGAGAATACTGGGGGGAAACTGGGAAATTATGTACTCCAAGTTTCTGGAGAGGCTTCCTAAAGGAGGTGATACCGGTGGTGGGTATTGAAGGGTGACTAATTTGGGCCAATGAGATGAGTGATATATGTGTGGGAAGGAGGCAGTGGCATTGATGGATACATGAATTTGTGAAACAACATGGAATAAGGCAGCTGAGGTCTCCTGGGGCATGAAATGTAAGGCAGGCAGTAGGTAACGAGGCTGGAGAGGGAGGCAGGGCCACATAGTCTTTGATTTAAATCTCTTCATAATTCTTGGATTAATGTAGAAATATTGCCATGTGCTATCTGGATCACTGAAAATGTTGACTGTGTTCCATATTTCTCTCATTCTGACAGCATGGTTTTTATATTTGTGTTTTTGACTGAAGATCCAACCAATTAACACGTAGTGTCATCTTCTCTTCCTTTTTATCACCTTTCTACTGTGGTCAAGTGCACATGTGATTGATGAGACTCTTGAATAGGAAACTGGTTTTTAACAAATGAATTGATCTTTCTGATTCTAGGAGTACTATTGGCTTTTTTAAAAAAAGCTTTTCCTAGATTTCTTTGACAAGACTTCTCTTAGGAGAGTTGAAGCTACATTGGGCATTTGTCCATTCATTAATCCATTCATTTGCTCTTCATCATTCACCCCATATACTTAACTCCATTTTATCTGTATGTTTCTTGGCCCTCCCCTTGTTGCATGTGTACAAGGACCTGTTGTGTCTTCCCATTCTTGTTTCCTGCCACTCTCTTCTCTAGGGATGTTCTCCTCCATTCACCCTGAGCTTTAAGAATTTTCTTGTAAAAATTGTGCTCCTTGATTCCTCTGTAACTTTGTACAAGTTGTTCCTGGAGCTTGTAATGCTTTCTCCCACTATCTTGATGTAATCATGCTTGCCCTTTAAATCCCTTCCTAAATGTTACCCTCTTTGAGAAGCTTCACTTTAATTCTTGAAGCAGAGTTGGCTGTTACTGCTTTCCTGAAGTTGACTTTTTTGGTTTACCCTTTACTCTAAACCTATTACCATTTCTTGGCTTTTATGTTTCCTTAAATAGACTGTTCACTTCCTTTATGGCAGGGTCATGTCTTATTCCACAAGTTAGCCCAGTGCCTGGCATTTGATTGATGCTTAATAAATTTATATTGAATAAATATTTATTTACTGACTGAATAAAGGATCAGGATACTATCTTTTGAAAAAGGGTGAGGGGAACTGCAGTTATTATAACTTAAAAGAAAAATAGCTTAGAATTTTAGTTATAGAATTATACCTATAGAGAGATAGTGTATGGGCAATATTCTGTAATGGTATTAGTTTCTGCTCCCTTTTAATTTTTGCTTTTGAAGCAACTCTTTGCTGACATTAAAACAAAAATCTTCCTTCAGGAAGAGTAGGTCTAAAAAAATAAATAAATAAAACAAAAATCTGATCAATATAACAATTCTCATTCCCAGGAGTTTGTAAGTGATTCCTCCTGGCCTGTGACATCATGAGACTCTGCAGCCAGAGCCTCCCCCAATACATGAGAACAGTTGTTCCTTGCAGATGGGGAAAGGAATGGGTTCCAGATATGAGGTCACCGTGTGAAATATACAACACTGTAAATAAGATTTTCATAGACAGAGAAACAGAGTCCATCTGCTTTCTGATATAAACTTTCTGTGTGCAAGCTTTGCTGGGTAAGGTAAAAAGCTAGACAAAAAAGGATATTTTAATGCTGATGTAGAAAATTAAGTTTATCAGATATACTTAGAAACATTTGTTAACTTTTGTATTTAAACTTAAGTCTATTTTGACTTTTTTCTTCTCACTAAGAGGAGAAACTTTTATTGAGAGATATTAGGGAGATTTAAAAAAAATAGGAATAGAGTAACATTTTCATTTTATTTTCAATACCCTGACTATAATTTGACATTTCATTGTTGTTTTGTCCTACATGGGGAAGAGGAGACCCCAGTGATCAAAGAAATCTCTTTTCAGTGTTTGAAAAACTAACCAGCAAAAACACATGATCATGTACATGTAGTTTTGAAGTTTTTTTTTTTTCATGAAACAAGTTTTCACATTGAAGAGTATATGTCATTTCTCTCTATATAAATACAGTATTGGGAGTCTGTTATGGGAAATGTTGGGGGAGATGAGAGTATGGGATAGACATACCCAGACAGGGCTTCAGTTTGGGGTGACGATCAGGTGACATGGATATGAAGATGGTAGAATCAGCTGTTAGATCCTAGATGATGCTTTTGCTACAGGAAGTTCAGGCTGAGCCCCGAGAGCTGCCTGAAGCCTGATGTCAGAGTTCTTCCTAGAATACAATATTGGTGTGAAGTTGTTATTAGCTCTCTGGAAACTCCTAACAAGGAAGACAGAGGATGGGCTGGGCTAGTTTCTAGTACCTTTATGATTTGTTAAGAGTGAAAGCAGCTAGAGAATATTTGGGAGTGCATTAAAGATAAGAAGAGTAGAGGTGACATTATAGTGGAATGCCCTGTCACTTAGAAGGGAGAGACGATATTCTCAACATTAATACCAGAGATGATGAGAGAACTTCAGCTCTGTAGACATTAATTAATTAATTAGCTCAACAAATGGTTTTTTGACTACCAACTGAGTGCCAGGTCACTGGGGAGGTGACTTGCCTATCTTGCTCACTGGTCTATGCTGGGTACTCAGCAGGCAGTCGACAGCCAAAGAACTAGAGAAGAATTTACAGACTGTGATCATTGCTAATAGGGAATAAAAAAGAGGAGAGAAAATAATTAGAGCCACTTTACATAGGCTGGTTAGGGAAGATCTCCGAGCATGTGATCCCCGAGTTGAGATCTGAAGGATGAGAATGACTCAGCCGTTTGAGGAATCAGGAAAAGAATGTAGTCAGGTAAGCTCATGGAAGAACAGCAAGCAGAAGAAGGCTTGGTGTTTCTGAAGAACAAGGAGGAAGCCTGTGGGAACATTGTGAGCAAAGGGAGTTATGGGAATAAGTTGGAGAGTTAGGCAGCAGCCAAATCATATAGGGTCTCTAGGCTGTGTTGGAGAGTTGGATTCTATTCAAAGAACAGTGGGAAGTTGCTGAAGACTATTAAGCAGGGGAAGAAAATGATCTGTTTCATGCTTTTAAAACATCTCTCTGGCTATTGTGAGATGAATAGAGTGGGGGCTGAGAGGCCACTTAGGAAGCTATCAAAGTAAACCAGGCTAGAAAATAGAGAGATGTGAACACGGTGGTGCCAGTGAAGACGGAGAGAAGTGGATGGACATGGAGCTAGAACTGATGCGCTGCGCTGAGGATTAGATGTGGAAGGTGAGGCCAAGGGAGGAATCCCTGATGACCTTTCAGTTTTTGAGTTGAGTGGCTGGCTAGCTGATGTTGCCATTAACTAAGGTGGAGAGGGTCGATGCTTGGAGTGTGGTGCTGAGTTTTTGGGGCAAGTGTGGGGGCAGATAGCATAAATGAGTGAAGAGGCTCTGTGGTGACTGTGGAAACAGGCGGTTTGCAGTAGTTAAAAACATGGACTCAAGCCAGACTGCCTGGGCTTGAATGTAATGTGAATGTAGACTATTTACCTAACCTCTCAGTGTCTCAGTTTCTTCATCTGTAAAAAAGATGGTAATAGTATCTACCTCATAGGGTTGTTGTCCATGTTAAATTAGTTGATCGATATAAATCTCTTAAAACAGTGTATGGGGCCAGGCGTGGTGCTGGCCGAGGAGGTGGGAAGATCACTTGAGCTCAGGAGTTTAAGACCCTGTCTCTACTAAAAATAGAAAGAAATTAGCTGGACAACTAAAAATATATAGAAAAAATTAGCTGGGCATGGTGGCACATGCCTTTAGTCCCAGCTACTTGGAAGGCTGAGGCAGTAGGATTGCTTGAGCCCAGGACTTTGAGGTTGCTGTGAGCTACGTTGATGCCATGAGACTCTAGCCAAGGCAACCGAGTGAGACTCTGTCTCAACAAACAAACAAAGAAACAAAAAAACAATGTATGGCATTTAGTATACCTGTGTAACTGGTACTGAGATTGTTTTATTACTGTTACTCAGTTCAGGTGATTGCTGTTACAAGAGCAGCTGTTACTCAGTTCAGGTGATTGCTGCCATGTAGAGCCAGCTGTCCACAGCTGTTAGATCTTATGATTTTTAAAGAAAATCTGGAAATACACATTTTTTTATGTGTGAAATTCCTCAGTTTTAAGCATTCTCAAACATCCTGTAAGCCAAATAAAACATGTTTGTGGTTGCTGAGTTAGACTAATTAGCCCAATTGTGTGGTATTTTTCTGTAGTACTATCCAATCCCTTGGGTATATAAAGGGAGAAGGCTGTTAGTCGGGGTCAGTTGAGAGGGGAGTTTTGCTCATTGAGTATGGGAGGAAGAGGGGACCCAAGGCTCAGGGTTCACAAGGATAAGAGATAATGACAGGCCATGCAACTATGTGGCCAAGGGAAGGATTAACCATAGTGGGAGGACGTTGAATAGTAAAATTGTGGTTAGGACTGTGGGCTTGGAGGTCTTAGTGAAATTGAAACATTGTTGAAATAGAGTTTCTACTGTATGTGACCTGGAAGTACCGGAGATTGTCGGCCGAAAGTGTGACATTTGATTTTTTTGTTTTCGGAGGTAGTATCATTAGTATTGATGATGGGATCCAGGCTATGAGTATGGGAGAGAATGGCTGGAGTTGTGGGGGCGGGGGCGGGCAAAAGGAATGTGGAGTTACAGGCTAGGGTCTGTCTGGTCATTGACATGGATATGAAGTCCCAAAAATGTCTGTGGGAATGAGGATGGAGGGGAAGGCAGTGAGCTGCAAGTCAAAGCATTAGTGAACTAGAGCTATGACTAAAAGGTTTGAAGATGACAGCACCAAGGGGGTATAGCAGGAGCTATAGCTGGATACAAATTTCAAAGGATTGGGGGGTTTTTGAAAGATAATGGAGGAAAAAAATAATTTTAAACCCATGGATGGTAAAGCAAGAAGATATTCTTCCTCCAGTCCCTGAGATACCTAGACCTTAAGGGAAGTGATAATATTGGGGGACAGCCAGGTTTCAATTAAGGCAAAGAATCATACGAGCATTCATTCATAGAAGTGACAGAGGCTGTAAGATCCTCACTGATCAAGTTCCAGGCCTAGGAAAGGGATGTAGGAAAAAGAAAAGGGTGTAGGAAAAAGATGAGAGATGGGGGATTGGGTCAGGTTAGGAGATGGTTATAGAAATATAGAAATGAAAATCTTGGACCTCTATAGGTGAATAAAACAAAATATCTGTGGGCATTTTCTTAATTAAAAGACCATTTTCTTTTTTAAGACATGGTCTTAACTGTCGCCTGGGCTAGAGGTGTAGTGGAGTCATCATAGTTCACTGCAAACTCCTGGGCTTAAGTGATCCTCCTACCTTAGCCTCCTGAGTAGCTGGGACTACTGGTGTGCACTACCACATCCGGCTAATTTTAGAGATGGGGTATTGATCTTGCTCAGGATGAAAAGACCATTTTTTGACAGTCTTTACTGCCAGCTTCTGTCAGGCTATAGGAACAACCCTGATCTGTTATGAAACTCTGTGAGAGTTTCTTCTTTCTTAGTATGATCTGTACTCCCTCAAGGTGCTTATTTCTGAGGTCCAGTTCTTAAGAGTTATACTCCAGTCAAATTTACACATGCTTTTCTGGAACAAGGCTTTTGCCCTTACCTGTGTGCTGATATATATCGGGAAGTTTGGGATTGAGAATCAAGGATTAAATCTTTTTTTTTTTTTTTTTTTTTTGAGACAGAGTCTCGCTTTGTTGCCCAGGCTAGAGTGAGTGCCGTGGCGTCAGCCTAGCTCACAGCAACGTCAAACTCCTGGGCTCGAGTGATCCTTCTGCCTCAGCCTCCCGGGTAGCTGGGACTACAGGCATGCGCCACCATGCCCGGCTAATTTTTTTTTTTATATATATATCAGTTAGCCAATTAATTTCTTTCTATTTATAGTAGAGACGGGGTCTCACTCTTGCTCAGGCTGGTTTCGAACTCCTGACCTTGAGCAATCCGCCCGCCTCGGCCTCCCAAGAGCTAGGATTACAGGCGTGAGCCACAGCGCCCGGCCTAAGGATTAAATCTTTAAGGTCCTTTTAATATATTTTCTTTTAAGTAGAGCCTAGATGCTGCCCTGAACAACCTGTCTCTTTGCCCTGAGCCCTGCCATGGCGTCTCTAAGTACTCTAAGTAAAGGCACTTTCAAAGCAGGAGGCATTCTTATCTCTGTACTTCTTCATGTGTTAGCCATTTGCTGAGCTAGAAGGGATGATAGAAGAATAGAAATTGAAAAAACAGGCGAGAAGAAGTGCCTGGAACCAGAAAATGAAATTGTTAAAAATTTAATTTCAGTGAATTTATTTTTATTTGTTTAGAGTCTCTTCCCCTCACTAGAGTGTAAGCTTCATGGAGGTAGAGTCTATATGTGATTATTTTCCATCGCACCTCCCTCACTTAGCATCCATTGTGCCTATCATGCTCATGATTAGGAAGTTTTTCTTGGGTGAGTGATAAATATTTAGGAAAAATATAAGTTGTTTTCTTCCCTCCTCCAACTGAAAATAGCTATCCTAGAAGTGAATTTGCTGTGACACTCTTAAGGGACTGGCCTCGGAGAGCTTTGCTAGCCCTCTCTCTCCACACCTCCCCTCTTGTACCCTAAGCAGAGTTAGAGCATAATGGGGATGAGTGAGTGTTTGCCCTCTTAACCACTTTTGCAAACATTGTCCTCTACTATACTTCCCTTTGGATTTATCTGAAATTTTGCTCTTGTTTTAAGGACTAGGTCAGAGACCATCTCTGGAGCCTTTCCTGGTGCCCCAGTTAAAGTAAGCTGCACCCTCCCTTATGGCATTCTTCATGTTTTCCTTTAAAACAAGGGCTGAGTTTAGTTATCATTCTCTGCCTCCACATTGCCTATCTCAAGGTCTTGAACATAGTACTCAATAAGAAATTTTTCAATTAAGGACTAAATGATCATTTATAGTAGTTTATTTGGGTGTTCATGATATTGTATACTATGGCATAAACATTTGCAATTTAAACATGATACACTACTGAAAGAAAGAAATTATTTTCTGCTTTATTTTATGTTCTCACCTATTCTGTTAATTAGGTATTTTTGAATCTTTCAACATTTTAGGGGAAATGTTACTTAAAACACTTTCTCAAGATATCCTTTGAGTTTGGCTGTTGGAAAAATAACAGCTTCCATCCATGTGTTCCAGTGGCCTGTGACTGCAGCTGGAACTTGGGAAGGGTTATAGCTTCCTGCAAGAGCTGAAAATACTGAACTCCTATTGAAGAGGCCCCCACCTGCACCACTGTGCATAAATAGAAGCAGGCCCTGATTTGGTGCTGGAATAACATGAAGTTGAAGGCAGACTGGGTGGCCTGGCTGTTGGAGCCAGGATTCCCGTTTGCATTAAGAGCTGGTTATGGACCATTTTGAATTATTGACTCATTTAGCTCTGCAGAGGGGCCAGAGTAAAAAATAACGTATCCAGTCTCTTGAGGCTAAGTATCCAGGATGGAAATCAACCTGTATCACTTTGAAAATTGTCACAGAAACAACTAATTGTAGAAAGATCTTGGAACTGGGAGAATAAAAAGGTCCATTATATAATGAGATGTTATCCCCAGATAACCTTGTTCTGAAAGGCAAGGTTTAAGTTAATTTGAAGAGTAGCATATAGGGGCATCTAAAATCCCCATAGTTGTCCATGCCAGGCTTTGTTGTTTCTCACCTTTCCCTGTTTACAGCAAGGTGCCAGTCTAAGCTTTTAGTTTTTTTTTTTCTTTTTTGAGACAGAGTCTTACTCTGTTGCCCGGGCTAGAGTGCCGTGGCATCAGCCTAGCTCACGGCAACCTCAAACTCCTGGGCTCAAGCAATCCTACTATCTCAGCCTCCCAAGTAGCTGGGACTACAGGCATGTGCCACCATGCCTGGCTAATTTTTTCTATATATTTTTAGTTTGCCAATTAATTTCTTTCTATTTTTAGTAGAGACGGAGGCCTCACTCTTGCTCAGGCTGGTTTCGAACTCCTGACCTTGAGCAATCCACCCGCCTCAGCCTCCCAGAGAGCTAGGATTATAGGCGTGAGCCACCTTGCCCTGCCAGCTGTCAGTTTTTGATGGAACTGTGTGTTACAGAAAGCAACATAAATCATGTTGCATGCATTTAGTGAATAGTTCTCATACATCTAACTTGTTTTCTAGATTGAACTTTTATTTAAAAATCTTTTTATTGAGAAAATAGTATGCACATAGAAAAGCATAAATATATACCTAGTTAGATTCTCACAGATTTTATTTTTTGTTTTAAAGGGTGCATTAAGAATTAATCCAAAGAAGTTTCATGAAGCCTTCATTCCTTCCCCGGTAAGTTCAATAGCTAATAAACTTAATGTCACATTTAATTTTTTAGATGTGCTCTGAAACTGGAATATATGAAATTATATATTCTAACTAAAAAGCAGAGTTGTAAAACAAAGTTGAAGATGGGCATGGATCTGTTTCAAATTTAAATAAACAAAATTTGCTTTTGGTTCACAACTCCTTCTGCCAGTCTTAAAATCACATGCCAAATGAAGGGGATGGCATTTGTCACGAGGCTGCAGAGAGCAGCTGGACCCAGGCAGACTACCCACCAGTTCATGAAATTGGATGCCCTTGGTTTATAGCTTAAAAGGATTTATGGGTTTTTTTGCACTGATTTAAGTTAATCTTTCCTAAACAAATATGCTATCTACTTTCGATCTGCATGAGCTAATATGAACATTTGTCCAAAAATAATGAGTAGCACTTATTTTTTTTTTGGTCAGAGTTTCTCACTTTAATTTTGTGCAGGTGATAGGACTTTGTACAAGGCTCTTTACCATTGGGTCTTTAGACCTTTCATCTGTTCATGACTCACTTTAAGAGGCTCAAGTTAAAGCAAGTTTACACAGACATATAGTAATACTTAGCAGCAGGTCTCTGGAGAAGGTTTGAGTGTACAAAGCTGGGAGAGCAATATTCTTAAATCCTGACCTACATTTCCCAGGATGCTATAAATAGAATAACTACAGAATCATAGATTTTTCACAGTGGAAGAGACCATGGGTATAAAGTGCTTATAGATTAGGAAATGGAATGCATATATTTGAGTTAACATATTTCATTATGTTAAATGACAACAAGTTTAGTGACAGTGTAAGTTCAGTCATGTACCTCATAGGTGTTACTATTACTGGTTGTGTATCCCTTATTTGAAATGCTTGGGACCAGAAGTGTTTTGGATTTCAGACGTTTTTGAATTTTGGAATATTTGTATTATATACTTATACAGAAATCTGAAATGCTCCAATGAGCATTTCCTTTGAGCATCATGTCTGTGGTCAAAAAGTTTCATATTTTGGGACATTTCAGATTTTGGATTTTCAGATTTGGGATGCTCAAACTGTATTATTATTGTTGTTATTGTTACAATAACCTTAAGACCTATTCTCAAGCTCAGTTTAGTCCTTTTTTCCCTTGCCTTCCAGAAGCCAAGGATTCACATTTGCATCCAAGTTCAAGTCTTACTCATTGGATCAGATAAAACGTATTACAGACATGTCTCATTATTCTCTCTGAGTCATATTCTGTTTCTGTGACAGAACATGGTATATATGTGGACCTTGGTTGCTGGGTTGTAGAACTGATGGTCAGCTTTGAGGTGGTAACTTGGCTGCATGAGCAGTTCCCTCATACAGTGGAAGTGCAGTTTACATGGGTGTTAGATTCCAAAGTTTGCTCACAAGGTGAAAATCACATCCAGGAATCATAGAAATTACCTATGAAATCTCTTAGAAAGGTGCCATGTTGGTGACAGATAAACCATTTCTTAATAAGTCCTGCATAACCAACATTTTCTCCACATTAGAAAGAATGACTGTTTCTTCACTGACATTCAATCGAAGGATCTTGATTCTATCAGGAGCCCTCGTGTGTGAAAACCATGGATTTTTAAGCATGAGAAGCACATTCAGTGCAGTAAGGAGTTCATCCTAAGAACCACCTGGGAACTGAGCAGATTTCAACTCTCTCCTCTCCTGTGCACGCTGAAGTTTGCTCTCATGGATTGTGATGATGAGGGGAACTATAGCATTTTGAAAATTTTGCCACTTTGTCTCTTTCCTGAGTACATAGTATTGAATTTCTGTAAGTTAAATCTCTGTTAGGTCAGCTCCTAACAAGTATGGATCCTAGGACAAAAGTACAACAGGAGGCACATGCATACCTATGTTAAATCACATATTGAGGCTGGGCGCGGTGGCTCACGCCTGTAATCCTAGCACTCTGGGAGGCCTAGGTGGGCGGATTGCTCCAGGTCAGGAGTTTGAAACCAGCCTGAGCAAGAGCGAGACCCCATCTCTACTATAAATACAAAGAAATTAATTGGCCAACTAATATATATAGAAAAAGTAAGCCGGGCATGGTGGCACATGCCTGTAGTCCCAGCTACTTGGGAGGCTGAGGCAGCAGGATTGCTTGAGCCCAGGAGTTTGAGGTTGCTGTGAGCTAGGCTGACACCACGGCACTCACTCTAGCCTGGACAACAGAGCGAGACGCTGTCTCAAAAAAAAAAAAAAATCACATATTGAAAAGTTATAAATCAAACTAACAAACTATAAAGTTAAATATATTCCATGACAAAGTCTATTCCTTACCAGATGTACTTCCATGTATCCGGGTTCAAATGGAGAATTCTCAGATTCCTTGCAGCTCCATACTAGAGTGTGACTGCTTAGAAGGGGTCCACCTCTGATCTGTCCCTCTTCTCTTCCCACTCCTGACTCCCTTTTGGCTCCTTTGCTTTCAGTGAGGACCCTTGCATGTACATACGTGGGCATCTTATCCCACATGTCTGAGCTGTATCCATATCCAACTCAGAAATACCCAAACCTTTAGCTAGCCGTTAAGTTGAGGGGGTACCACCATTGGTGGGGAAGATGCCTCTGTATGCCCTGGAAGTGACTTGGAGCTGATTATTCCAGGGAAGCGCATCCATTTTGCCCTGAGAAGTCCTTGTTTGATGGGAAGGGGCATGGCTAGAGCAGGGCCAGAGCCCAAAGTCCTTCTAAAGTGTGAAGCCTGGTTAGGTTCTTGTAAGTTAATTTCATGTAATTTACATTTGCAAATGATATATCTCTATAGATTAACCTGACTTGTTAAAGAAAGGCTGACAAGCAAAGGCAAAAGTTACTGATGTTTCAAAAGCTCACACTTGTTCTCCTAGTTGAAATTATATTCCTTGCATGTGCTATTTAGAAATTTTTAGACAGTTGTGATATTAGGATGAGCTTATTTCTATGCCTCTTTTATTCTTTTATCTGGCCCCTGATGGAGTAGTAATATTGTCTAAGAGAAGGGAAAAAAACTAAATAATTCACCTCTAGATAATTAAGAACAGATTGTAAAAGCTACTATCAAGGCCCAATTGCAAGTGATCTCTCTAGTTTTGGACACTAGAATATTCCTATATTCTTGTCCTATACACAAGATAGTCCTATACACAAGATACTCTAGTCCTATACACAAGATACTCCTATCTTAGATAGTCCTATACACAAGATACTCTAGTTTTGGACACTAAAATAGTCCTATATTCTTGTTTTGCAGATTTTTAGGTCCATTTCAGTTTTCAGAATCGTTATGGGAAGCAATCTAAGAGGGTGATAGTAGAGGCAATAAATTACATGCAAATAAACCCCACAAGCACCAGTGGTCTAGATTTCTGAGTGTACGTAGTTCATGTCCATGTAAAATATGAACTTATATGAACTAGAAAAATGCCTACAGCTAGATGAAGAAGTAGGATGTCAGAACCAGGGCCTGCATGTTACCTGTTTAAGCTGTGAAGATAGACAGGAATTGATAAAAGATGTGGCTTCTGGTCTGACAATAGGAAATAGAAAGGTTTCCTTATTTGTAAAATGAGAGGATGGATTAGATATTGTCTAGATTTATTCACAACTTCAAAATTCTAAGTTTTTGGAGAGACAAAAATAGAGATTTGATTAAATTATTTAAATTTACACTTATTCTAAAAATATTATGGTTGTAAATTTATACAATGTCATTTTGCCATGCCAAAATATCTAAGGCTAAGAACAGTGAATTGATCATCAGGTTTGAAATAATACTTTGTTTTGGAGGAACTTGACTTAGCTTCATTATAATTTCTATTGATAGAAATTTTCGTTTTATGACAAATCTAAAATACATGGGATTATGTGGATCTGCTAGTCTCCTGGGATTCTCAACAAAACCGGAATACAGAGTTGGAATGGAACCATGTGACTTTCAAGCAAACCAAGATAAAATGGTATTATTGAGATACCTTTTTATCCTATTTTGGGGACAGGGTAAAGAGGAGAAATGGATCAGATGGGAAAACCTGGCTTTTTATAAAAAAGCACAATTTCTGTTCTGAATTATGTTGGTCCAAGAAGCTCTGTAACTTTTTTATGTGTCATGGGAGGCACCCTTTGTACAGCTGTGGAATTTATTTCTGGTCCAAAGGGAGCTATTCCATCAATGAAGGATGCTCTGACCATCATGGCATACTTGTGTTGTCCTCCTTCTTCCAGTCCCCTAAATACATAGATTACCTCTAGATCCCTTTATTCTTCCTTTAGGTGTGTTCATTATCTGCTTTTTGTATTCTTTCTGATGGGTAGAACAAGACTTCTGACATCCAAATAAAGAGCTGAATTCTTTGGCCTTAAAAAATATTAATAGTTAAGAGAGATTACTCAAACTTTTAATATTGAGCAGTTCTCAAGTTTAGTATCTTTAAAATAGGAGATTCAGCACTATTGCTGAATAGGTTTCTATTGAATCAAGGTTTCTAGATGAATCAAGGAATTGCTGAGTAGTGATGCAATAGCTGTAGATTCGTGTGTTGTCTGAAGTTCCACTCAGCCCTGCTATCCTTAGTTTCTTGGGATAGGAAGGTGACAATACCATCATCCTATCATCTGAAATCATGAGCTGCCAATGGGTGATTGTAGCTGCTTATAACAGAGACATTTCTTTCATTGCATATGTTTTGACACGTGAGACTGGGTTAGGGTGACCTCCAAACAGCCCTCTTTTCGTTCCAGAGAGGTCCGAGAGATCATATTGCCTTATAAATTGCAGAAGACAGCGATTGATGATGATGTAACATATTTCAGTTGTTCAAGCTCTATTTACTAGCTGTCTCCTCCTCATTTCTCTGAAAAGCTCTTCCTGAGGTCAGCTGCAGTCATTTTTTGTGGCTAACACAGTAGCTGTTCTTCAGGGACTAGGGTGGGGTTAGGTTTGGCAGAATGTGCAGGCTACAGCTGTCAACCCAGAGCAAGATTGGACATTGGACAGAAAACTGTTCTAAAAGATCTCTAATGGTTTGTATTTGGAAACTATAAAAAATGCTGAGCAACTAAAATCCCCTCCCCCTTTTTTGGTTTGGTGATTTTGGAATGGTAATTCTAACTTTAACTAAAATTTCATAGTAATCACGTTCAGTCTATTGAGTGTTAAATCTGATCTATACTGAGTATCTCTATTAGAAAAATTTGAGTGGTAACTTTCCAGACCCTTTTATCATCAACTTCTGTAAGAAAAATTAATATTTTTATTTCTCTTTCATTCTCTGAAAAGGAGCACATAATGTAAACTTTTAGATGAATAGAAGGATAAGAGTACATGTTTGTTGATGAGACATTTTGAAAATATTCCATTTTCTCATGGAACCTGACTACTGAAGGCCTGCTTTTCCTTAGGTTTTTTCTTTTTTTTTTTTTTAAAACAAGGTCTTGCTCTTTTGCCCAGGCTAGGGTGCAGTGGCGTTATCATAGCTCACTGCAACCTTAAACTCCTTGGCTCAAGTGATCCTCCTGCCTCAGCCTCCTGAGTAGCTGGGACTACAGGCATGCACCACCATGCCCGGCTAATTTTTGTATTTTATTTTTTGTAGAGATAGGATCTTGCTATGTTGTTCAGGGTGGTCTTAAACTCTTGGTCTCAAGTGATTCTCCTGCCTCAGCCTCCCAAAGTGCTAGGATTACAGATGTGAGCTACCACACCCAGCCCCTCAGCTATCTTTTCATTTAAGTATTTTGCAAAGTAATTTGGCTTACCAAGAAGACTCTGGCACCCATTGAAGTTGAGACATCAACACTTGGGGAGCTCACTGGGGAGCCACACTGCTTAAAGTGTGTGATTGAGGATGAAAGTGTCTGCACTTTGTGTTCATGGTCTGGAATTTACAGTGCTTCTAAGTCAGTAGGAAAGGGGGAGTGTAAGATTGCTTTATGAATCTCATGTCACGTCTCTTCTTTGCCTTCTTCTTAGGTTTCCATAAAAACAAGCACAGTTTTTTCTCTCTGCAACTTTCGGACGGGGGTTGGGGGTGTGATATGATTTTGCTGGCTTCCTTCAGGAGAACCCAAATCCTAGAGCCTGCTCCTGTCTCAGTTGGTTTTCCTTGGGGGCTGGGGTAGGGGATTATATGTTGTTTTTCTTCTGTTCTCTTGCATACCTTCTATTTTTTGCTTTTCCTTGATACTTAAAAAAAATTCTTTCAGTGTAAAATAGTTTCAGCATGCTTTATTTTACTTAAAACAAAAAAGGATAACCTAAGAATAACTTACTCCTTTCTCATTTTAGTTATGAAAGAATGCAATCTCAGTTTTTTGCTTTATGTATTTTTATTTGTTTGTTTTGATCTGTCTGTAGTAGATCATTTGCTTATTTGGTGATATTTTTGGATTCTGCTAACCTCTTAATTGTTCATTATCATTTCTGTTAGTTCTAAAGAAATTGAATTCCCTTTAGGTGTGTTTGTGGCTATGTACTAGAGTTCCTGTTAAGTCAGTGCACATATTGTAGAGTCTAAAATTTTCAAGCCAAGGTAGTAATATTTGGTTCCAGGCCTTGGTAAACTAACTATCATTTTATTTCTCTCTCCAACCTAGGATGGTGATCGAGACATTTTTATTGATGGGGTTGTTGCTCGTAATAGAGCCTTAAATGGGGATCTGGTGGTCGTGAAACTACTTCCCGAGGAGCAGTGGAAGGTAAGTTAAATTTTCTTTTTTTAACTATAGATTTCTTAGGGCCTTTTATGTTCCATGGTGTACCAATGAGGCATCATAACCTGGAGGAGTCACAGACCCCTCAGGCTCTGCAGTTAAGTTGAGTGTTGCATGCTTGGGGTTTGGAAACATCTGCTGGGCAGACATCTAATAATTTGAGTTATTTTCCTTGCTCCCTTCTCAAGTGATCTGTCCTGTCAAATGCTTTGCTTTGGTTTCTAGTATTCTTTTGGATAGAATACCAAGGGCCCATTCAAACTTGACACATATATTATTTTTCCACATTCTGTTGTGGGAGAACTGAAACGATGAAGCCATGGGCACAGTGGTAGTCCTCACACATTTCTTCTGCCTCTACTGGAAAACGCAGGCAATACATATGGAGTTCTGTTGGACCTAGTTTGGTGATCGAGTGTCCCTTGGAAAATAAAAATTATCTACATTTTTATAAATCAGGGATTTAGGGGCAGAAAAAAATTTTTTAATAGGAAAATATCTGGGGTTTTGGTCTCCATCTATGTCTGTCAATTGAAAAGGGAAATTAGTTTTACTTTTGACTGTTTTTTTTTTTTTTTTTTTTGAGACAGAGTCTCGCTTTGTTGTCCAGGCTAGAGTGAGTGCCGTGGCGTCAGCCTAGCTCACAGCAACCTCAAACTCCTGGGCTTGAGTGATCCTTCTGCCTCAGCCTCCCGAGTAGCTGGGACTACAGGCATGCGCCACCATGCCCGGCTAATTTTTTGTATATATTAGTTGGCCAATTAATTTCTTTGTATTTATAGTAGAGACGGGGTCTCGCTCTTGCTCAGGCTGGTTTTGAACTCCTGACCTTGAGCAATCCGCCCGCCTCGGCCTCCCAAGAGCTAGGGCCACTTTTGACTGTTTTTTAGTTAACAGTAAGGGTCAGATGGTGTTTTAGTTAACAGTAAGGGTCAATTTGTGGTAACAATTTCTTTGAATTGTCACGTAGAATTGGTGACTTGTTCCGTGTTTCCCCGAAAATAAGACCTACCCATAAAATAAGCCCTAGTAGGATTTCTAAGCATTTGTGCAATATAAGCCCTACCCCGAATATAAGACCTAATGATGGGCATGGCTATGCAGCGTATCTGCATAACCCATGCATTTCGTCATGAAGTAGTAAAGAAGACGAGCAGCCCTTCTCATCTGCCCCATGAGAGCTCTATTGCTCAACATGAGAGATTGGGGCCAATGGTTCTAAAGCAAATAGAGTCACAAGAAATTCAGGATGGAATTCGGGGTATGTAGAGTTATGATGATGTTCCAGAAGACGACGACTTAACTATATTTGAATAAATGTAGGTTGTTGTTCTGTACTTAAAAAAAATAACACATCCCCTGAAAATAAGCCCTAGGGTGTCTTCTTGAGGAAAAATAAATATAAGACCCTGTCTTATTTTTTGGGAAACACGGTATATCTAAGTCTGAATTTGTCTTCGTAACATTTGTTTTATTTGGTTCAATTCATTGGTACTCTAGAATGTGGTGTCTTCTTCAGTGAGAGGCATCAAAATGTAGCATGGCCTTTAGGTTAGGTTGTTTGGCTTTGAATCTCATCTCTGCCCTTCATCTACATAGCTTTGGGCAAATTATACAACTTCTTTGCCTCAAATGCCTCATCTGTAAAATGTATAGTACCTAATTCATAGATTTGTCATGAGGATTAAACGAGAATACATGTAAAAATCTTAGAATAGTGTCTAAAAGTCTTAGACTGGCAGGAGCTCAAGAAATGTTAGTTCTTATCATTAGCTTTTCCAGAAAATATGTGATATGAGGAGTACCACCTTATCTCAGAGCTTTGTTCAGGCACAAATTAAAAAAAATTTTTTTTATGTGATAGGGCTAGAGTAATTGAATTATAGTTATGTGCCAGGTACTGATAGGGTGTAGGGAATTTTGTAATGATCAGGATTGACATAGTTCTTGCTCTTATGGAACTTACAGTCTATTGGGGAGTATAGGTAGAAAGAGACAGATACTAATCATATATAAATTTAAGTATAATTTTAATTAGTACTGTGAAGCTAAGTGCAGGGTTGTGTTTTTTTTTTTATGAGTGAATTTTCCTAGTCCAGATCCTCCTCCCTGGGAAGAGAGTGGTTAGCAAGTTGGGTGGGTCTAGAACAGAGCAGAGTAGGTATGAGGTGTTGACTGAAGAGTAGGCATGAAGAGTGTACAGTAGCACACCAGTTGAGCTCTGCAGAAGTGGACAAGGTTGCTTAAAAGAGCAAGGCCAAGTTGCCTGAACTCCTTCCTATCCTTAGCCCCAGGCTGGAGATGGCTAAAATAAACAAATATATGAATAAATAAATGTGTTGCATTATTTTCCTTGTTCCTTACCTCTTTGTTGAAAAGATGAGCAAGCCCAGCATTTCCTGATATTGTCAGAAGTTTTCTTGCTTTGGGCAACAAGCCCAAGAAGATGGGATAGGTTGTTGACCAAAGCTTGAGGGCAGGTTGGGGGTGAAGGTGTTTGTTGTTGCTGAGGTCTAAGAGGACAAGTTTGGGGCTTGGTTGTTCTTGCTTCTGCCTTGGTCCCTTTGCTTGTTGGGCAAAATCTGTACCTCCTTTAAGATTCAATGCAACAAAGATGTGTTTTTCTATAGAGGTCTAGTTTTATAAAATCCTAGGTCACTGGAGCTAGTTAAGCAGGTAAGAATTTATAGAAATAGGTAGCATTTCCACAGTCAATACATTCAGGCTTCTTAGAAACAGCTTGTTTTTCTGTTTTACAGTTAATATCTAAAGGTAGAAGTTAAAGGCCAGACAGATAAAGGTCTTAAGCCAGGGAGTGATATGATTGTATTTAGCCAAAAATCACTCTAGCTGCTATTCAGAGAACTGCCTGTGGTGGGGACAGTTGTACATTGGGATGGCCAGCCTCTATTAGGGTGCTTAGACTGGGTCATGACAGTAAAGATGGAGAGAAGTTGGGACATATTTTGAAAGCAGAGCTGATAGGAATTGAAGATGGATTTTAAGAACAGGATGAGTGAAAGAGGGAAATCAAGGAGAAACCAAAGATTTTGGTTTACCAAAATGGGTATGATCTCATTAATTAAAGTGGAGAACAGTGGGGAAGAGCATGTTTTGGTGTAAAAATTATTAGTTCTGCTTGGCCGTGCTGAGTTTTAATTTCTTTTTAGACATGTTAATAGAGATACAGAGAAAATATAGAGGCTCAGATGGTTTCACTGGCTGGTGAATTCCACTAAACATTTAATGAAGAAATAATCCTGGTTTTATACAAATGCTTTTGGAAAATGCAAGAGGAAGAAACCTTTTCCAACTCATTCTGTAAGGCCAGCATTGCTGTAATACCAAAATGAGGGAATGACATTATAAGAAAAGAAAGCCACAGACCAAGAGTCGTCACAAACAGATGAAAAAATCTTCAACAAAATATTAGCAAATAGAAACCAGCAACATATAAAAAGGATAATACAACATGAGCAAGTGGGGTTTGTTCCAGGAATGCAAGGTTAGTTTTAATATTTGGAAAGAAATCAGTGTAAGTCACCATTTAACAAACTAAACTTAATGCCATATTTCAATCAGACACCCTCATTTCAATAGATGCAGAATATGCATGTGACAAAATTCTACAACCACTTGTGATAAAAAAACTCACAGCAAACTAGGAATAGAAGGTCAGTTCTGACAAGAAACATCTAGGAGATACTGATAACCACATCATTCTTAATGGTGAAAGACTGAATGCTTTTCCTGTAATATTGGAAATGAAGTAAGGATGTTCCTTCTCATCCCTTTTATTCAACATTGTATTGGAGATTCTAGCCAGTATAAAAGGCAATAGAAAAAAAAGCATCCAGATTGGAAAGAAGGAAGTAAAACTCTTTATTCCCAGAGTATATGATTTTCTACATTCAAACTCCTAAGAAATCTACAAAAACAAGCTGCTATAACTAATAAAGGAGTTGCAGGACAGAGGCTGATATATTAATATAAAAATCAATTGTTCTTCTATCAAGGGTGGGGAGCCTGCAGCCTCAAGGCCACACATGGCCCTCCAGATCCTCAACTCCATTCCCTCGACCGAATCCAAACTTCACAGAACATTTATTCTGTAAAATTTGGATTTAGTCAAAAGCTGCACTCAAGGATCCAGAAGGCCACATGTACTATATACATACTAGAAATGACAAATTGGAAATTTAAAATATTCCTGAAGTACCATTTATAATAAGATCAAAAATATATAAACTACTTAGGGATAAACTTGACAAAAAGTGTGTAAGACATGTACACTAAAACTATAAACTGTTACTGAGAGAAATTAAATAACAACTTAATAAATGGTGAGACATATGTTCATGAATCAAAAGACTAAATATTGTTAAAATTCCAGTTCTATTCATATTGCTCTGTAGATTCAGTGCAATCCCAAGCAAAATTCTGACAGTCTTTATAGAAATTAACAAGCTGATCTTAAGATTTATATGGAAGTGGTAAAGACCTAAAATAGCCACAACAAAGGATAACAACATTGGAGGACATACACTGCCTGACTTCGAGACTTCTCATAATCAAAACAGCGTGGTATTAGCATTAAGATGGACGTACACACACACACACACACACACAGATGGACATACAGATCAATGGAACAGAATAGAGAATCTAGAAATGGACCCATACATATAATTGATTTTCTACAAAGTTGCCAAGGTAATTCAATGGGAAGAGGGTATCTTTTCAACAAATGTGCTGTTACAGTTGTGTAGCCATGTGAAAATACAGGGACATTGATTCTTAGCTTGTACTACATATGGAAAATAACTTGAAATAATTATAGATCTAAATATGTAAAAAGTATAAACTTCATAGAAGGAAATATAGGGGAAAATGTTAGTGACCTTAGATTTCACAAATATCTCAAGTATAACAAAAAAAAGTAAACATAAAAGAAAAAACATCAATATGTTTGACTTTATCAAAATCATACTTTTGCTCTTTAGTATAGACACTGTTACAAAAATGAAAAGGCAAAGCACAGACTAGGTGAAAATATTTGCAAACATTTATCTGACCAAGAACTTTTATCTAGTATATAAAGAAATCTTGGTTGGGTGTGGTGACTCATGCCTGTAATCCTAGCACTCTGTGAGGCTGGGGCCGGTGGATCACGCAAGGTCAGGAATTCGAAACCAGCCTGAGCAAGAGTGAGATCCCGTCTCTACTAAAAATAGAAACAAATTAATTGGGAAACTAAAAATATATAGAAAAAAATAGCCAGGCATGGTGGCACATGCCTGTAGTCCCAGTTACTCGGGAGGCTGAGGCAGAAGGATTGCTTGAGCCCAGGAGTTTGAGGTTGCTGTGAGCTAGGCTGACACCATAGCACTCTAGCCCGGGCAACAGAGTGAGACTCTGTCTCAAAAAAAAAAAAAAGAAATCTTATAACTCAATAATAAGCAACTCAATTAAACATTTGAACAGATACTTTACTAAAGAAGATATATGGATGATGATTAAGCATGTGAAATTAGTCATTAAAGAAATACAAATTAAAAGGCAAAGATACTACTACAGATCCACTAAAATAGTTACAGTTAAAAAAAAAAATGACCATAACACTGGTTGACAAGGATATGGAGCAATTGGAACTCTCACACACTGCTGGTGGGAATATAAAATAGTATAGTCACTTTGAGAAACAGTTTGGCAGTTTTTTAAAAAGTTAAGCCTAACTCTGGGAGGCCGAGGCGGACGGATTGCTCGTGGTCAGGAGTCCAAAACCAGCCTGAGCAAGAGCGAGACCCCGTCTCTACTATAAATAAAAAAATGAAATTAATTGGCCAATTAATATATATAGAAAAAATTAGCCGGGCATAGTGGTGCATGCCTGTAGTCCCAGCTACTCGGGAGGCTGAGGCAGCAGGGTTGCTTGAGCCCAGGAGTTTGAGGTTGCTGTGAACTAGGCTGATGCCACAGCACTCACTCTAGCCTGGGCAACAAAGCAAGACTCTGTCTCAAAAAAAAAAAAAAATTAAGCATAACCTAACATGTGATACAGCCATTCCATTCTTAGATATTTACCTTAGTGAAATGAAAGCATTTGTCTACATAAAGACTTGTACATGAATGTTCATAGCAACTTTATTTATAATAACTCTAAAGTGGAAACATTCTAAATGTTCGAGAGCATGTGAATGGATAAACCAATTTTGGTATATCCATAAAATGGATTACAGTTTAGCAGTAAAAAAAAAAAAAAGAAAGAAAAAATGAACTATGTCAACAACATGGGTGAATATCAAAATAATTATGGTGGGTGAAATAAACCAGGCAAAAAGAATACCCTCTGTATGATTCCATTTATATGAAATTCTGGAAAATGCACACGATTAATAATTTATAGTGACAAAAGACAGAACAGTGGCTCTCTGAGATGGGAATAGGAGAGATGGATTGCCAAGGGTCCCCAAGGAAACTTTTGAGAGTGGTGGACATGCTTGTTATCTTAATGGGATTGTTTCATAATTGTATGTGTGTCAGGACTCATCTATTTGTAGACTTTAAATATATGTACTTTATTATATGTCAGTTATACCTTAATAAAGTTGTGAAAAATACTGAAAAACAAAAGAAGATGTTTGCACAAATGAATCTGGAGTTCCAAGGAGAGACTGAACCTAGAGATGTCAATTTGGAAGTCATCAGCATATGTGGTGTTTAAAGCCACATTAGTGGTTGATATCACCTAGAGACACCTAGCTAGAGAAGAAGCCAAAATGTAGGGATCATATAAGGAGAGCGCATGCTGTATGGGGGCACAAACCATCATGGCCAGATTTCAGCTGTGCTTGGCTTGGAGAAGAGGCTGATGCAATCTGAGGGTGTTGGAGGCTGAGGTCCAGTGAAATGGGCATCAAACAAACTCAGGCTTTCATAGTCCATGTGACCTGCTTGAATCTAGAGAGCATTTTTTGATCTCTCTTTATGGAAAGAATCAGTATGCCTTCAGCCTTATGCAAGAATGAGGAAGATGTTTGGTGACATCTGTCCTCAGGAATAAGAATAGGAGCTGGAGAGATCCGAATCAAGATGGCGGACAAGAAACACCGCCAGACAGCGTGTCTCTGCAGAAAAGACAGATTCTAGCAGAAATTAGAAGAAAGAAGCAAGAAGATGAGCCTACATTAGATGAGGGTTGGAAGGAGTGGTACCTAAGACCATGGGAGACTCCACAGGAGGAGGTTGCAGAGGAGAACTGGAAGCAGAGACCTCCGGAACAGACTGGAGACCAGCAGGAAGGGTAGGTTGATCGGTCAACTTTCCCCTCCTCTGCATTTGGGACTGCTGGTGGGTGCCCCAGCGGGTGGAAAGACCTGCGGACACCAGCCCAGAGATGGCCACCGCCAGTGAGCGGTAAGCCTATAGCAGACGCAGCACCAGGCTCCCAACTTCCGCAGAGCACTTCCCTGTGCACAGACCCGAGCCGCGTGGCAGGTGCCATATTGCCTCCTTCTCCCCTCCGCCAACCCTACCTGCAGCTGCCCAAAGAGACAATATAGCCACCAGCTGGAGGCACCTCCAGGGAATGGGACCTTCCCTTTTGGGGCCCTACAGCTGACTGAGGGGAACTCAGATGGTGAGCTCCTCACCTGCCAGCCCTCCCAGGAGCTGCTGGCCCAGTGATCCCAGGAGAACGGGGAAAACCCTGAGACTGGGAGACATAGACCCAGCTTGGGCTCCCCATGGGTGAATTGGGACTGGCATTCCTCTCTCTGGTGGGCATATAGTTTGAACTCTGGGACCCAGAGGTCAGGCCTCCTTCGTCCCCTTCCGCCAACCCCTACCTGCAGCTGCCCAACATAGACAATTATACCGAACGCCACCAGCTGGATGGCATCACCTCGCGGGAATGGGACCTTCCTTTTGGCCCTACAGGTGACTGAGGGGAATCTCAGATGGTGAGCTCCTCCACCTGCCAGCTCTGCCCCAGGAGCTGCTGCGCCAGGTGATCCCAGGAGAACCGGGAAAACCTGAGACTTCGGGAGACATAGACCAGTGGGCTCCCCATGGGTGGAATTGGGACCGGCATTCCTCTCTCTGGCGTGGGCCATATAGTTGAGATCTGGACCAGGGTCAGCACTACAGAACAGGCCCTAGATCCCGGTGCACCCAGGTCTCACATTGCCGCAGGACACAGAGAGGGATATATCGATACGGCCTACTGAGCGCTGTGTTGCCTTAGTGGCAATAGCGTCCTAAAGGGCAACCCTCCCTCCCAAAGGGAGGCCGTGCCCCAGCCCAGGTGGTGTTCCGTGCAAGGGAACGTCGGCGTGGCCGGCGCATCATGCCATAAGGGCCCCGTGGCCGTGAGGTCTGGCAGCTGGGGCAGAGACCCAGGAGTGCCGTGCGAGTTGAGGAGGGTGGGCCGAAAGAAGCGAGGCCCAGCTCCAGACTGCAGGTCTAGACCAACCCTGCACATCAGACCTCTCTGACTGAGCTGAGGCCCATCCCAGCCGCTCCTTGGAGCTTTCCTGAAACTAGAAACAGAACCTTTGAATCCCTCTCTAATGGCAATTGTGGTGCCTGAGGAGGCTTACCCAACCGTAGCTCCACCCAGACTCACACCTCAGACCAGCCCTCACTGGAGAGGGAGAAAAGGGACGAACCTGGAAGTCCCAGGGCCAAATCGCACCACCTGAGGGCACTCCTACAGTGGCCTCAGGGTGGTCGATGCTGCCCTGGGACTTCCAGGTGTGCCTTTTCTCCCCTTCTCAGTGAGGGCTGGTCTGTAGCTGAGTCTGGGTGGAGCTAGGTTGCGTAAGCCTGCCCTCAGGCACCACCGAAGTCCATAGAAGGGATTCCAAAGTTCTGTTTTTCGATTTCCAGGAAAAGTCCTGCCAAGGAGGCGGTGGGATGGCCAGCTCAGTCAGAGAGTCCTGCATGTGGCGGGTGGGGCTGTCCTACAAGACCTGCAGTCTGTGAAGCGGGCCTCGCTTCTTTCCACCCTCCTCAACACTCCACGGCTACTCCTGTCTCTGGCCAGCAGGGCCAGACCCTCACGCCACGGGCCTCCTCTGCTATGATGCCGGCCAGGGATGTTCCCTCTGCCCAGGAACACCACCCTGGGCTGGGCGCACGGCCTCACCTTTGGGAGGAGGGTGTCCCTTTAGGACGCTGACTGACTCTAAAGGCACACAGCACCCTCAGTAGGCTGGTTCGCATATATCCCTTCTGTGTCTGGGCAACTGTGAGGAACCTGGGTGCACGGGATCGTGTTCTGTAGGTCTGAC